CTCTAATTTTTTAACCAATTCATAATATTTGGACATTTAGTTTTTTTCAGTGGTTTACTAGCATAAACATTGCTTGGATAAATATTTTTAGTCTGCCTGGTAAGAGTTATTTCATTATTAACTTAATATCTTCAGTTGCTAAAGAGTTTGATCATCTTTTACATGTTTATTGGTAACTTCTACTTTTCTTGTGAAATCCTTGTGTTATATATATGCATATATGCACATTGCACACACACACATATCCTATACATAACTGAATGTAACTTTTTTTTTATTTTGTTCTTGTCCTCTTCCTCTAATTATAGTAATTCAGGTTAACAACCTAGTATGTACAATTTTATGCAAAAATATGTACACACATATATACTGAGATACTTATAGATACACTTAAACTTTTGGGGGTCCTGGTTTATTTTACCAAAACACAATCATATAATAGAAACTTTCCTCTATCTTTTTTCATAATACCCATGGAAATCTTTTCACGTCACTGTATAGCTCAAGTCTTTCTCTTTAATAGCTACACAGTAGTCTAGGTGGAGAAAGATAGGTGAATCACCTATTCTGCTAATGGATGGATAACAGCCATTCCCTATTTCCAGTTTATGTACAAATATAAACAATGTTATAAAATATAAACACCCTTGCATATACAGCTGACCCTTGAACAATACAGGTTTGAACTGTGCAGGTCCACTTATACAAGGATTTTCTTTCTTTTTTTTTTTTTGGTCAGAGACAGGGTCTCACTTTGCTGCCCAGGCTGGAATGCAGTGGAGTGATCCATAGCTCACTGTAACCTCGAACTCTTGGGCTCAAGGGATTCTCCTGGCTCAATCTCCCAAGTAGCTAGGAGGACTACAGGCCCACACCACTATGCCCACCTAATTTTTAAAATTTTCTGTAGAGATGGGGGTCTCTCTATGCTGCTCAGGCTGATCTAGAACTCCTGGCCTCAAGCGATCCTCCTGGCTCAGCCACCAAAAGTGCTGGATTACAAGCATGAGCCACCTCACCTGGCCTATATTAATTATTTTCTTTTTTATCCAAACAGGGATTGAAAATATAGTATTCACTGGATGTGAAACTATGTATATGGAGGACCAAGTTCAAATATGTGGGTTCCACAGGGCTGACTTTAAGACTTGAGTATGTGTGAATTTTAGTATACAAGGGGATCCTGGAACCAATCTCCCAAATATGCCAAGAGACAACTGTATATCCCCATAATATTGGTGCATCAGAATCCCTAGGGGCTTGTTAAAAAACAGCTTCTTAGGTCCTACTGTAGGATATATTAAGCCTTGAGGTGTCACATGATTCTGATGTAGCCAATTAAACCATGAGAAGGAGGCTGAAATAGGCTTTGCTTTGCTTTTGTTTTTTAAAGGTACAACACTTATTATTTCAAAATATTGAGGTACAATTGTCTTTGTTACATGAATACCTTGTATAATGCTTAAGTCAGGGCTTTTGGTGTGCCCCTCATCAGAACAGTGATCACTGTACCCAACAGGTAAGTTTTTTATCCCACACACCCCCTCCCACCCATCCCCTTTCTTGGTTTCTCTCTTTATATCACTTTGTGTACCCACTGTTTAGCTCCTGTTTATTAGGGAGAACATATGGTGTTTGGTTTTCCATTCCTGAGATACTTCACTTAGAATAATCGTCTCCAGTTCCATCCAAATTGCTGCAAACGACATTATTTCATTCCTTTTTATGGCTGAGTAGTACTCCGTGTGTGTGTGTGTCTATATCACATTTAGTTTATCCACTCATGAATTGATAGGCACTTTGGTTGATGCCACATCTTTGCAAATATGAATTGTGCTACGATAAACATTCCAGTACAAGTGTCTTTTTGATAAAATGACTTCACTTCCTGTGGGTAGACACTTAGCAGTGGGATTGCTGGATCGAATGGTAGATCTACATTTATTTCCTTGAAGAATTTCCATACTGTTTTCCATGGTACTAATTTGCAGCCCTACCAACACTGTATAAGCATTCCTTTCACGCTGGATCCATGCCAGTATCTATTTTTTTTTTTTTTGAATTTTTAATAATGGCCATTCTGATAGGGGTAAGGTGATATCTCATTATGGTTTTCATTTGCATTTCCCTTATGATTAGTGATGTTGAGTGTTTTTTCATATGTTTGTTGGCCATTTGTCTATTTTCCTTTAAAAACTTCTGTTCATATCTTGACTACTTTTTGATGGAGTTTGTTTTTTTCTTGCCGATTTGAGTTCTTTGTAGATTCTAGGTATCAAACTTTAGTGGGTGTATTGTTTACGAATATTTTCTCCCATTCTTTAGGTTTTCTATTCTCACTGTTAATTATTTCCTTTGTTGTGCGGAAGCTTTTTAAATTTAAGTCCCATTTATTTATTTATTTTTGTTGCTGTATTTGCCTTT